CTGTCCCTGCCCAGTGTCCTGGCATCTCGGCCCGCTGCCGTTCCTGCCCACCGTGCACCACCCTGCTCTCCGCCAGGCTCACTCCCGGGCCGGCTCCTCTCCAGCCGCTGCTCCCAGTGCCTCCGCCTGCCTCGGCACCTTGTCTGGAAGAGCTACCTTGCCTGCCCTCTTCCTCTGGGCACAAGGTCCTTGCTGACCCTCCCACGTGGCCGCGGCCTGGCCCATCCTCGCTTCTGACCCTGCTTTCTGCCTCCTCGCTGCTGCTCCTCAGGCTGCTGCCCTGTCGCCCTGCTTTCTTCTCTCTGACACCCCCACCCCGTGTCCTTTGTTATCTCGTCTAAGTCTCTCCTCTCTGGTACCCCCAGGTGTGCAGGCTGGTAGCTGTGGTGTGGGACACTGCTCATCTGATCGCATGAGGGGCCCTTCTGCAGCTCCTGAAGAAGCCGTGACCTCAGCCGGGTTGACCCTGGGAAGGTGCAGGCCCCGTCACTGTCTCAGGGCGGGGCCTGCTGGCCTTCCCCGGGGAAGGGGCTCCTGCCCCCTCCACCCTCTGCTTGGCCTCTGCCTGTGTGACCTTGGGCGAAGGACACCATCTGCCTGCTGCTAGCGCCTTCTGTCAGCTGCAAGGTGAGTGGGTGGGTGGGGCCGAGGAGGGGAGGGGGTGGGTGTGAGGGGGGGGTTGGGACTCGGGCCTGTTTGGTCCCCTGGGGTGGGTGCAGGCCTCGGGGTGGCAGTGATGCACTGAGGGTCTCTGGGGATGGGCAAGTTGCTGCTGCAGGACACAAACTCTCAGGCAGAGGATCTGGCTCCATTTGTTTTATTGGGCCCTTTCAGCCTGGGGTTCCTCAGGCCCCAGGCTGGAGCCAGGATGCAGTTGTTGGGTGATGGCATCTTGCTGTGGGCCCCATTCTTCCAGTCCCTAGGGGAAGGAGAACGGGCAGAGGGCAGGAGACAGATCATGAGCCCTCCCCCCCTCCTGGGGGGGCTTCCCTGTCTCTGCAGGGCTGGCGCGAGGCCACCAGTCCAGCTGCACTGCCCCTTCCGGCTGCCAGACGCCGCTGGCCGCTCCTCAGGCCCTGTCCTTATAGGTCACATGGCTGGCGCGTGCCCGTTGGCCAGCCGCCCCACAGCCCGGCTCCGAGGGCCATTGGGGGTTTCCTTGAGCCCGTGGGCTGCCCCGTTCTTCAGCTGTGGGCTCTCCGTGGCTGTCTCCCCATCGCTGGAGTCCGGCTCGTCCACATCGCTTCGCACGTCCTTCTCCATCTGAGAGCAGGGTGGGGGGCAGAGTTCAGTGGGAGGGGGAAGGCGTCGGGTGGGTGCAGCTGGGGCCGCGGGGGGACAGGCCAGCTGGCGCCCCGCCCCACTCGGCCCTACCTGGCCCTGGCCCGTGAAGCTGCAGAGCATGCGCAGGATGAGGTATGACCAGAACACGTGCAGCGCCTGCAGCAGCATCAGGAGCGCGTTGAAGAAGTAATAGGCAAAGAAGGGGGGCGCCTGGATGACGGTGATGGACTCGTGGAGCGTGGTGTAGAGGATCCTAGGCGGCGGGAGGGAGGGAGGGCGGGCTCGCGGGGCTCCACCTTTCCCCCTGCTCGAGCCTGCGAGGGCTCCCGCCCTACCTGCTCGCTCCCCACGCCGGGGTGTGCTGGTGGAAGGCAGGAGCTTGCACACTGCTGCTCACGACCATGAGCCCCCAGGGGCCCCTCAGATCCCAGCACCCCTGCCCCCCGCAGGCGACCCACTCACGCCCGTGCAGCTGGAGAGCGCTCCTGGGCCACCCCCGCCTGGGCATCTCCCCTCGCTGGCCCTGCACACAGTTCTCGGCCCTGCTCTGGCTACAAGGTCCCCTCCAGAACACAGCCCTGCCC